ACCTATTTGCTGCTAGGTGAACATGACAACAGGTGTAAGGAAATAAGTCGAAATGTTTCCACTCAGCCGGGAATCGAACCCGGACCCTCCGCATGTAAAGCGAGAGGTTTTGCCACCAGGCCACCGGGCCACCAAGCCACCGGGCCACCAGGCCACCGGGCCACCAGGCCACCGGGCCACCAGGCCACCGGGCCACCAGGCCACCGGGCCACCAGGCCACCGGGCCACCGTGACGAAGAAGCAATGTTTTCGGCGCAATAACATATTTAAAGAGCATTTTCATATACCTACCGATTTTCTTGTGATGCGAAAATTAACGTTTAAACCCTGAAAAGCAACATAATCTAGTTTTTATATAATTAATCATAATTTATTTCATGGTTAACATTTTCTGGTAAATTTTTAGAAAGCTAAAACTAATTTAGTAAGATTAAATATAAAATAATAATTTTTACATTGCATAGGCCTTCCCCGCTCCCCCGTCCCCCTCACTTTCAGAGTTCTTGTTTTTGTTGATATTAAGAAATTCTTAAAACTGGGAAGATAGACTAAGCAACACAGACCTCAACTTATGCCTAGAACAGATTAACTTGGTGGCACTCGATGTATGCACAAGGCTTATTCCTCTAAGAAAAAGGAGGAGTAGATGTAAAATAAAAAGAGACAGGTGCTCCCTTTACAGGCGACGGAAAAGATTAACAGAGCGGCTAAAAGAGGTCAGTATATCTGAAATGCGTAGGGAGTCACTGGTCAGAGAAATAGCAAACATCGAACTTAAGCTAAAGGAATCTTATAGGAGTCAGGAATCGCGGGAAGAACTAAAAGCCATAAATGAAATTGAAAGAATCCCAAAGTATTTCTTCTCCTATGCCAAATCAAAGTCGAGAACAACGTCCAGTATTGGGCCCCTACTTAAACAAGATGGGTCCTACACAGATGACAGCAAGGAAATGAGTGAGCTACTCAAGTCCCAATATGACTCAGTTTTTAGAAGCGCAACCAGACTGAGAGTCGAAGATAAAAATTATTTTTTTTATGAGAGAGCCCCAGAATTTGGTTAACACAAGCCTTTGAGTTACCCTGAGGCCAAATGACTTGAACAGGCGATAAATGAATCCCCATGCACTCTCCCGGGCCCAGACCATAAATTCCGTGTTCTCAAGAACTGCAAAAAGCCCCTACACGGTTTTTCCCTCCTATGGGGGGGCATGGACAGGGGGGTCATCCCACAGTTACAAAAAAAACAGTCATAGCCCACCACAAGGGGGGCAGAAAAAGCATTACGCTCGCCGATGCACAAACATCCCATATCATAAAAAATTTGAAAGGGCCTAAGACCCCCCCATTAAAAAACCCATAAATTACAAAACCCCAGGGCAACATGGTTTAGAACAGGTCGTCCGTCTGTTCAACTATTGGATCACACGACAAGGGCCTAGATGCACTAGAAAACAAAAAGAATGAAGGTGTAATATATGCAGATTTGCCAAAAACCTTCGACAAGTGTGACCTGGGTAAAAGCGCACAAAATGGTGCTAAAAAAGGGAAAAACAGGAAAAAGTGGTAGATGGTCTAAATTTCCTCACAAAAAGAACCAAAGAGTATGTCAAAGAGTAAAGTCCGAGGCGCTACGGGGAAAAAACTCTGTTTCCCCAAGGCACAGTACTCGCTCCCCTCTTGTTTCTCATCCCTCTATCTGCATAGAAAAATGTAGCCACAGCCCGTGTCTTCCTTGCGTGGGCACCCCAATTGCATGACAGTGTCTTCCCTTGCAGACCTGCAAGGTCCGGGGGACATCAAAACCAAACTTTAAGGGCTGCAAAAAAAATATGAAGTTCAACGATGAGAAATTTTTTAAATTCTCAGATATGGTAAAACGAGGAAATTAAAACTTATCAGGTCAAAACAAATTCCCCGGCCCCAAAATAGAGCGAAAAAAAAACGTCAAAAATCTGGGAGTGATATGTTGGAATTTTCCCCTTTAAGGACCATAAAATTGTATCAATCGCATCTGCTAGAAAAATGACAGGATGGATAATGAGAACCTTCAAAACTAGGGATACCAAGCCCATGATGACACTCTTCAGGTCGCTTGTTCTATCTAGGCTGGAATATTGCTGCACACTAACATACCTTTCAAGGCAGGTGAAATTGCTGACCTAGAAAATGTACAGAGAACCTTCACAGCGCGCATAACGGAGATAAAACATCTCAATTACTGGGAGCGCTTGAGGTTCCTAAACCTGTATTCCCTGGAACGCAGGCGGGAGAGATACATGATTATATACACCTGGAAAATCCTAGAGGGACTAGTACCGAACTTGCACACGAAAATCACTCACAACGAAAGCAAAAGACTTGGCAGACGATGCAACATCCCCCAATGAAAAGCAGGGGTGTCACTAGCACATTAAGAGACAATACAATAAGTGTCAGGGGCCCGAGACTGTTCAACTGCCTCCCAGCATACATAAGGGGGATTACCAATAGACCCCTGGCAGTCTTCAAGCTGGCACTGGACAAGCACCTAAAGTCGGTGCCTGACCAGCCGGGCTGTGGCTCGTACGTTGGTTTGCGTGCAGCCAGCAGCAACAGCCTGGTTGATCAGGCTCTGATCCACCAGGAGGCCTGGTCACAGACCGGGCCGCGGGGGCGTTGACCCCCGGAGCTCTCTCCAGGTAAACTCCAGGTAAACTCAGTTACGAAGGAACTACAGATAATGAATCACAAATTGCAAACCTTTGTCATGTTTGTCTTTACCTCTGAATGGCTTGATTCTTCCTTTGTGACTGTGTGGTGGACATCACTTGGTGTCCTCCACGCTTTCTATCACTGTCCTGGACCCAGAGCCCAGCCCGTAATAAACTGCTGAGATCGAAGCTCAGAGTTGATGCCACACTGCTGGGTCTGGACACAGATTTTTTTTCTCTTCTCTATAGACCTTCCTCTCCCCCACTATTCTTCTCTTCTCCGCGCTTCCTAATCACCATTAGTGTGTCCTTACCTGAGAGTTAGTCTAGTCTAGTATAGGTCTCCTGCCTGCTCTTTGCACCATATTCCCCATCCTGAACTGAACTCTTAGGTAAGACTCCATAGGGGTGAACTTTGGAGGAACATGGGAGATAACCCTTGAAGAAGGAACAGACGAAGAATAGTTTTGCAGAGGAGTGTTTTCAGGCGGAGAGATAAAACCATGACTAAAGCCAGTTGCAGAGCGCTGGTTCACTGTAGGGACATCATGGGCAGTCGTACTGGCGATTTTGTATTGGGTGGCGATGATGCCTGGCAGGCGGCAGGCAGGCAGGTGGCAGGCGGCAGGCAGGCAGGTGGCAGGCAGGCAGGCAGGCAGGTGGCAGGCAGCAGGCAGCAGGCAGGCAGCAGGTGCGGAGCTGGGTCCCAGGTTCAGCTCTGAGTGGAGGTGCTTGGGTAGGCTGTTTACATCTAATTCATCGTGGTGGCTGATGGACTGACCATTTTAAAAACAATATCTCCAATGTTAATGGACTGATTACATCATTTTTACTTCGCTGCTATACCTGCTGCCTCTATATTAGACTGAAGAAGCCTACTGTGTAGGCGAAACGTTTCAATCACCAATAAAGATACCCAACTGTTGCACGTGTCCAACTCTCCTAGTCTAGTCTGAGTAAAAAGAGACATTCTCTTGTTAACTCAGGGAGACCAACAGCTTAAAATACAACATCAATTTACAACATTCAGTTCTGCTGGATACTCTTAACAACTGTGTGGTCCCGTGGATTATTGCATCATGAGTTCTCGCCCACCATGAGGCAGACCAAAGCAGCATGGGTTCGACTCTTCGGCTAGACGCAGTGTTGTTATTGATTAATACCACTTGTTCATGGGTACAATGTATATATGTATGTGTGTGTGTGTGTGTGTGTGTGTGTGTGTGTGTGTGTGTGTGTGTGGGTGTGTGTGTGTTTGTGTGTGTGTGTGTGAACCGATACCATATGAATGACCAATACCCGAAGATACTGATATCCATTCATTGTATTTGCATCAATTATAACATTACCTTCTGCTTTCGTGTTTCTCTTCTTTGTCTCAGCACAAGGTAAGCCCCCGGTGTCATTCATGGGTTGGACAGTGACAGCGTACGTGGTACATGGTAGCAGTTCCGTGATATGGTAACTGGTGTCTTCAAGGACAACGAACGTTCGATTATCGTCTTCGGGAATCCAACTGACGTTGTAGCTTGTTGCGTTCATTACTGCTTTCCAGGTGACCTTAATATCTCTTGATCCCTCTGACAAGCTCAACTCCACTATACATGCAAAAAAGAAAAGGATTTTGAATCATCTTGATTGATTAAGTGGGTTAAATGCCACTGACTGCAGGAGGATCACTGAGGGGAAAATCCCTCTTTACAAATAGAGAAAAATACTGAAAAAAAATCGATAATTAAAGATATATCTTATAAAAATTCTCCGGAGTGTTTGCAAGAAATTGAGTCATCAATCTATTTCATTGTGATAATTTTAAGTTCCTTTTTTCCCCAGCTAGAAATTACATTTTATTTAATTTAAAATACTTGACTTCTGTAATTTATACACTGGCAGCAACTTTACTGAGAGGCAGTACGGTATTACTGAGAGGAAGCATGTCTTTACTGAGAGGCAGCATGTCTTTACTGAGAGGCAACATGTCTTTACTGAGAGGCAACATGTCTTTACTGAGAGGCAGCATGTCTTTACTGAGAGGCAACATGTCTTTACTGAGAGGCAGCATGTCTTTACTGAGAGGCAGCATGTCTTTACTGAGAGGCAGCATGTCTTTACTGAGAGGCAACATGTCTTTACTGAGAGGCAGCATGTCTTTACTGAGAGGCAACATGTCTTTACTGAGAGGCAACATGTCTTTACTGAGAGGCAACATGTCATTACTGACTCAGCACCAGAAAGACTATTCTTTTCTGGTCAACAACAACAACAACAACAACATGTGACCATGTATGTGCTGCACTCAGGCAGGTGTTC